AATATTCCACAATCTATGAGCTGCCACTGCTATGGCGGGACACGTGCAGCAGGAGCAGCGAAACGGTGTTTAAGTGGCAAACCCATTTCTTCAGCTAGACCTTTCCTACGAAGTGCGTAGGGCTGTCTCATGACAGGGCGATAGTCAAATAGGACAGAACTGGACATATCACTGATAGTGTAGGGTAAGGGGTGCTTGTATTTGCATTCACTTTCACGAAGTACACAAAAGATAGGTAATACCTCTGTAGATGTAATGGCCCCTCATTTGAGTCAACATACAGGCTTTGCACGAGGCTAGTACAAAAAGCGCCTGTAGAAGGGCGAATGCCCAAATGGGGCACAGGGTTCAGCATCTTTAAGGGGGCAGACTGCTCTTTGGGACCAAAAAGTGACAAAAATATTCATTTTTTAAAATTGACATATTTGGTTTCTGCAAGTATTTTTCTATCTCTCTGCAAATTTTCACGCACCAAGAAGTAGTAATTTTTTTGTAATGTCATTTTAACTGTCCAGATTCTTGGTGCTGTTAACATGCAGAACCTGCAAAAAAATGGCAAACCGAGTTTGAGGCTTCTTTATAATTTGCCAGCACCTTTGTCTAAAGCTCTACTACCAATTTATGAGCGCCTTCGTGAGGATTGCTAAACATGCGCACCATGATCGTTGCTTTTTGAAGAAACTGTGTGTTTTCAGTTTTTTCCATTTTTCTCAAAAAAGTAAATTTGTGACTGTTCAATTTTGAGGCCTCAATATCTCTGCAGCTAGGGCAGGTACAACAATATTTCTATTTGCAGTGGAAACCTGTATGTGTGTAGAATGCAAGTATGGGAGCAAAATTTAGAGCACATGCCCTTTTAAATAATTACTAATCAAAATAGTAACACAATTCCAACTGCTTTTGAAAATGTATAGTTCATTTTGCTGCAAAATAACCAATAAAGGTCTAAAAACAAAAACCTCTTCCATACTTTCACTCTATAGTCATTAGTCTATGTTGGCATATCCTAAATATCACTTTTAATTAAGCACTTTTTTTTCTATGGTGGCCTTAAACAATAGGGAGTGAACTTAAGTTATCTCAGCAACAAAGTGAGTTACAGGAAAACTAATTACATATTTGAAATCAGCAGAAAAAACTGTATAACCCTGTGCAGTTTTATCAAGATCACTGAAGAAATAAACAAAAAATGTCTAAGACCAGTCTGCCCCCTTAAGGCATTGTGATCACCGACTGATAGGCAACGTCACTGTAGTCAAGGGGTGCTTGAATGAGGCTTTTATAAAAATTTAGAAGGCACTTTTTGTCACTACCCCATGTAGTGCGTGACATTTTCAGGATATTCACGGTTTCTTAACAGTTGCTTTTTACGGATTTGATATGAGGTACTAATGTTAGTTTAGTATCTAATATAGTTGAACCCCTTTATAAGAGGCATGCTTTGGGCAGCAATAATTGTCTTTTAAATGAGATGTTTGTTATAAGCAGGGTGCCATGTATGCATTTTCCTGTCAACCCGTATTTTACTTCAGGCACACTGGTGTCTCTCATTTGCCTTTTATATCAGTGTCTCTTATAAAGTGGTTCGACTGTACTAGGCCCAGAAACTTATGCTCGGGCTTCACAGACAGGCATTGACCACGTACGTAGATAAATGTCGAGGTTGGGGTGAATGCTCCTCTTTCTAGAGAACAAGACGCCCGCACTTTTCTGTGGATTCAATCGAAACCCATTTTCTTCTGCCCATTTGGAAGCCTTGTTTAAGCAGAGTTGAGCCTGCCGCTCACACATAGCGAGATTGGAGGATTGAAAACAGATTTACACATCGTCAACATACGTGCAATGAAACATATCGCGTGGCATGTAGGAATGCAAGGTGTTCATTTTTATAATAAAAAGTGTGCAACTCAGAACACCCCCTTGCTGCACTCCAGTCTTCTGGACAAATGTCTGAGAGAATACATTCTCTACCCAGACAAGGAAGAAGTGATTGGGCAAAAAGCTTTTCATTATGATTAGCGCGTTACTTAGGACACCTAATTGTGAGGTCTCGCAGTATGCCAAAACGCCATGTCGTGTTGTACGCCTTTTCCGAATTTAGAAATACTGAAAGAAAAAATTGTTTATGAACAAAAGCGTCGTGTATTTGTGCGTCAATGCGTAGCATGTGGTCAGTAGTGGATCTAACCTTGCGAAATCCTCACTGGCATGGGTCCAGTAGATTCCAGGAAATGTAACAGCCAGCGGTTAATCATCTTTTCAGAAAGTTTACACAGGCAACTTGTTGGTGCAATCGGTCTGTAGCTGGTAACAGAGGATAGATCCTTGCCTTGCCTTAGAATCAGAACTACAATGGTCTCTTCCCAGGCTGATGGGATCTCGCCAGAAAAACAAAAAGCATTATACAGGAAATGAAAGGGTTTTTGAGTTTCAGAAGGCAGGTGTTTTAACATTTCGTATACTACACAGTCCGAGTCTGGAAATGAGTTATTGCGGTTTATCTATGCTTCTAGCTCAGCTAAAACAAAAGGTTCGTTGTATGCTTCACGTTTTGTTGATTTGCCCTCATTTGTTTTTTTGATTATTGTTCTATATTGTTAGAACGATGTGGCATAGTGCGACGAGCTGAAGACCTGTTCGAAGTGTTACCCAAGAGAGTTTGCCTGGTCCTCCAAGCTGTCCCCTTGTGTGTTCACAAGAGGAAGTGGATGAGATTGTCATCCTACTACCTTACCTACCATGTTCCAGACTCTTGCCTTTTGTGTATATGAATTGATTTTGGATAAAAACTTATGCCAACTCACCCTTCTCACCTGTCTGTGCATCCTCTTGCCTTGAGAATATGTTCTTGAAACTGTCAAGATTCTCGACTGTCATTGAGTTGCGAAGCAACCTCCACACCTTATTTTGCTTTTTTCGGGCATTGCGACAATCATTGTTCCACCGAAAGACACGTCATTTGGTGGACTGTAAAGCTTGTGAGATACAATTTGTGGCAGCGTGAATAAGAAGGGCTGTAAAGTACTCCCCAGCTGCATCTATGCTTAAGTCATGCATATCAGACCAACTTATGAGAGTAGTTTTTCGAAACTGTTCCCAGTCGGTCTTATCAATCTGCCATCTGGAATCTGTGCAGGACCTGCATTATCCATTGGTGTACTCGTAATTATTGGAAAATGATTGCTTCCATAGGGATTAATAATGACATTCCGTTTGAGTGGAGGCAGCAGAGATGGGGATGTAATGCTGAGATGTATGGCTGAGTAGGTATTGTTCGCCGAATTGTAATAAGTGGCCGTTTATGATTCAAAAGACAAGCATCTGTTGAGAACAGGAACTGTTCAACTAGGCGACCTCGTGCATCACAGCGAGAATCACCCCATAGACTGCTATGTGCATTTAAGTCCCCAAGGATTATATAATGTTCTGTTAGTTTATCTATCAAGGACTGGAATTCATGTTTTTGAAAATGGGACTGTGGAGGTATGTAAAGACAGCGGATGGTGACATGTTTATTCAGAAGAACTGCTCAAACAGGCACAGTTTAAAGGAATGTATTTAGTGGTAGGTGTGTACATGCTCTGCTTTGATTAACTATAATAGCCACACCACCGGTAGACATCATCACAGCATCGTCCCGGTCCTTTTTGAATATAACACAATGGTGTCAAAAACTGATTTTCTTAGATTTTAAGTGTGCTTCCTGAACACACAGCACTCTTTATGAATGTTCATGTAAAAATTCTTGGACATTGTCAGGGTTACTAAGGTTCCCCTTAAGGTCCCTGACGTTCTATTGTGATAAGATTAGTTTGCCGTTCCGGCGCCCGGGGGCATCGATGTTGCAAGGAAATAAATACGGCGCACATGACCAGCCAGTCAGTGTGGAACCCGCCAACGTACGTGTGTGTGATTCGGTCCAGCGACCGGCATGGCCCAGGACTATCCGGTTATTACAAGTGACGACGAGGTCGACTGACGAACCGGACGGGCACAGCACAATCACACGTCGTCATGCCTGTCGTCGGGAAGCTGGATCCGTTCGACCCGAGTACATCGGAGTGGGCGGAATACCGTGAGAGGGCCGAGCTGTACTTCATCGCGAACGACATCCCGAGCGACAAGCAGACAGCCGTATTTTTGACATGCTGCGGTCCAGAGACTTATTCTCTGCTACGAGGCCTCCTACCACCAAGCAGGCCCGCCCAAGCAGGACTGACCGAAATTTTTACCCCACTTGGCAAGCACTACGCCCCTCGCCTATCAGAAGTAGTGGCAAGTTTCAAGTTTTTCTCAAGACATCGAAAAGAGGGCGAGACCGTAAGTGACTACATTGCCTTGTTGAAGAAGTTAGCCGAAGACTGTAATTTCGCAACATTTCGAGAGTGCATGTTGCACGACCAGATAGTCAGCGGAATCAATGACATAACCATGCAAACACGGCTGCTGGAAACGACGTGTTTAACCTTCGAAACCGCAAAGGACACCGTCCTAGCTATGGAGGCTACGCGTAACGATTCACGCACATTGAGCTGTCAGCAAGCACAGCTACTCTCTCACGAAGCTCCGGAGCAAGCGAACGTTGTCACCTCGGGGAAAAATGATAGCTGTTGCTTCCGTTGCGGGGGAGGTCATTCTGCGCGTCGGTGTAAGCACGGCAGCACGATCTGTCACAACTGCCGCCAAATAGGGCACCTTGCAAGGGTTTGCAGAGTTCAGCCGAGAAGTAAAAATTTCGACCGGAGCCAGTCTAGTCGCGTGAACAACCTGAGCGACCTACCTGTCTCTGCTGAAGAGCCCGAAGTTTTCGACTTGTGGACGCTTCACACAGCTAGTTCGGAGCCACTGCGCATAGCGGTTGAAGTTAATGGCATAATGCTCGATATGTAGTTGGACACCGGCGTTAGTGTGTCGACCATTGATGATGGCAAGTTTGCCGAGCTTTTTCCGTCGGTGCCGTTGGAGCCATCGAGTGTGCAGCTGAGAAGTTTTTCGGCGACATGAAACGCGTCCAGGGAAAGCTGGAAGCAATGGTCAAACTTGGCGACAAGGAGCGCCAGCTACCACTATTTGTCGTTAAAGGGGCATGTCCTACGCTGTTTGGACGAAGCTGGATGAAGGCCTTCAAGCTAGGCATCGCTCAGACGGAGGGAGTCAACGTCGTGAAGTCTACGAAAGACCTGGTAAGCCAATATCACGAAGATTTTTCGGAGCAGCTTGGCACGTTTCACGGCGCTACAGCGTCTATATCCGTACAAAAGGGTGCGAAGCCACGTTTTGTCAAGGCACGTCCGATACCATTTGCTTTGCGCGATAGGGTTTTTGAAGAACTACAGAGGATGGAACGGGAAGGCGTTATCAAACCGGTGAAAACTTCTCAGTGGGCCGCGCCCATCGTTCCTGTATTGAAGCGCGACGGCCGGGTTCGGGTCTGCGGCGATTTTAAGACTATCATAAACCCGGGGACAGTCGTCGAGTCCTACCCTATTCCTAGGATTGAGGAACTTTTTGCGCGACTTACAGGGGGCAAGAAGTTCACAAAGCTTGACTTGCAAGATGCCTACCAGCAGCTTCCACTCGATGAGGAGTGCCAAGAGCTAGTCACCATTAACACTCCGAAGGGGTTATACCAATTCACAAGGCTGCCGTTCGGGGTTTCATCAGCTCCGGCTATATTTCAGCAAGAGATGGAAAATCTGTTGCACGACCTTGACCATGTCGTAGTGTACTTTGATGATATTCTGGTCACAGGAACCAGTGACAAGAAGCATTGGGAAAATTTGGGCCGAGTGTTGGATCGCCTGAAGACCGCGGGACTGTGACTGAAGTTATCCAAATGCGAATTCATGAAACCAGGAGTCCAGTACTTGGGCCGTATTATTAGTGTGGCTGGGCTGCGTCCAAACCCGGCTAAGACTGAAGCAGTGCTGGAAGCCCCCGCACCCCGAGCGGTCAAGAAACTTCAGAGTTACCTCGGGTTGGTTAATTTTTACAGAAGGTTTTTGCCGAACCTTTCTGCCGTATTACAGCCGCTCAATAGTTTGTTGGCGTCGGGAACACAATGGCGCTGGGAAACTGATGAAAAGCAGGCATTTCGGAGAAGCAAGAAGCTATTGGCCTCTGCTGCTATATTGGCACACTTCGACCCAGGAAAGCCAACTGTGCTTGTCACTGATGCATCTCCCTTTGGGATTGGAGCAGTACTGGCGCAACGAGATTCATCTGGAGAAGAGCGCCCCATTGGTTTTGCCTCCCGCAGCCTGGCAATCGCGGAGAAAAACTATGGCCAATTAGAAAAGGAGGCATTGAGCCTTGTATTTGGCGTTACAAAGTTCAGGCAGTACTTATAGGGCCGGCAATTCGAAGCCGTCACAGATCACGAACCGCTGCTCGGCCTGCTCGCAGCAGACAAACCAGTTCCCGAATCCTGTTCTCCGAGAGTGCTAAGGTGGGCCTTGCTGTTGTCGGGGTACAGTTACGACCTGAAGTATAGGCCGGGTTCACAAATTGCACATGCCGATGTGCGAAGCCGGCTACCTCTGCCAACTGCCGAATTTGTTGTTGACTGCCCTGCCGAAGTGTTAATGCTGGAAGGAGTATATCCAGGGGTGCTGTCGTCAAATGCTGTTGCGGCAGCCACTTCCAGAGACCCGGTGCTGTCACAAGTAAGAGCAGCGTTGTGGTCAGGCTGCCAGATAAACCTAGGGTCAGAGAGAAGACCCTACGAGACGCGCTTTCATGAGATGAGCGTGCAAGGGAACAGTCTATTGTGGGGCAACAGAGTCATTGTTCCAAAATCCTTGCAAAAGGAAGTCCTCCAGCTGCTGCATGAGAGTCATCCAGGACTGTCCAAAATGAAGGCAGTTGCGCGCAGCCATGTGTGGTGGCCTAGCCTGGATAACGATATAACGATAACCATTCAAAGGTGCCGTATTTGCCAGGAGCATCAAAGAGTGTCACGACCAGTGCCTGTAATGCCCTGGCCGTTCCCAGAGAAACCGTGGTCACGGCTGCATGTGGACTATGCCGGTCCTTACAGGAACACCTATTTTTTTATCGCAGTCGATGCGTTTTCGAAGTGAATTGAAGTGTTCCCGGTCTCTACACCCTCGGCTGAAGCAACTATTTCCTGCATGCGCATTATGTTCGCAAACCAAGGCCTTCCAGATGTGGTCGTCTCGGATAATGGGCCAGCATTTACCAGTGAGCTTTACTCCACATTCCTCAAGAAAAACGGGGTGAGGCGAATGCTGGTGCCGCCGTATCATCCAGCGTCAAACGGTGCTGCAGAGCGGGCCGTGCAGACTGTCAAAAACAAGTTGCGGAAGGCTGGCCCTGGAGATATTCGCACTCAAATTGCCCGCATGCTCCTGACATACAGGTCAACGCCTCACGAGGTCACGGGTTGCTGTCCGTCGGAGCTGTTGTTGAGACGGAAGCTGAGGACTGCGTTGGACCTGCTACACCCAGACCTCAGGACCAAGGTGCTACAGAAGCAACTTAAGCAGAAAATCAGATGTGACCAAGGAACAAGACCCAGGGTTTTGGGCCACCCGGGTGACCAGGTGTTCGCAAAGAACTTCCGTCCAGGACCTGCGTGGCTCCCTGCAGTCGTCACCGAACAACGCACTTCGTCCATGGATGTTCTACTGGAAGACGGACGACGGTTAACTCGACCGACATTTGGATCACATCCGCCAGGCCCCTGAGGAACTGAGTGCAGACAACCAAAAGTCAGGCAGCCCGGAATCTACCGGTCTTGCTCCAAGCTTGGACGTGGGTCAGACGCAGGTAACTGGTCTTGCTCCAGGCTTGGACGTAGGTCAGAGGCAGCTATCTCCCGATCGTCTCCACGACACAGAGTCTAGGCAAGATCCCAGGGAAGACGTGGCGAGGGAACCGGAACTTGCTGTCACAGCACCCAGTACTCCTGTCCTGCGTCGAAGTACCAGAATTCGACGACCAGTATCGCGCTACGCACCTTAAACAATGGTTTGCAACCATTAATAAAGGGGGGAGGGATGTGATAAGATTAGTTTGCCGTTCCGGCGCCCGGGGACGTCGATGTTGCAAGGAAATAAATACAGCGCACATGACCAGCCAGTCAGTGTGGAACCCGCCAACGTACGTGTGTGTGATTCGGTCCAGCGATCGGCATGGCCCAGGACTATCCGGTTATTACATCCATTGTATAACTTGTGTATGTGTTCATGATGAAAGTAATGTAGTGTTGTGTGTACGAAGAGCAAGCGGCTCTTTACACAGAAAGTTGGAATGCAGGTAACAAGCCATCAGGACCTGTTACCTGCTTTTGGTTTTCTTTGCACACTCTAACGAGCCACGCCGATCTTTTGGCAGGAGGGGTGCTACTGCATCCATTGCCACTGAAGAGGCAATGAATGACCGTATGAGCGAGCTGGTCGTTCCAAATTTTAGGCCTCCCCTGGTAAGGGGAGGCCTTGGGACGAGATGACCCTGGAGTCGCCGGTCTCTGTTCGCTGGTAGGCGGAGTAGAATGAGCTACTGCCGCCTTGGGGGCAGGCGCTACAGCCGATGGCAAATTTCATGCAGGCCAAAGGAGTGGCGAGGGCTGGTGCGATGCTGCCCCCTGACGCTCCGCATCAGCTTATTGTCACCCTTTAGAGGTACAGGTGAGCTTTATTGGACATCGCTGTAGAGCAGCAGGACTTTTGCCAGACGCGTTGTTTGGGAATGCCCTCGAGAGACGGATAGCGCAGGCTCTTCTTTTGTGTCCTGTGCCTCTGCATATGTATGTCCCCTACTACTACTGGTGGCATTACTATCGCCTCTGCAAAAAACAGCATAGACTCGATGCTCCAAGGTAGGTGTAAAACAAAAAAGTAAACAGATTACACAGAGCGATAAGGATGATGAAAGGCTAAACTCAAGCAGTCAAAGAAAGTTTAAGCGTAATAAACAAAAAGAAAAATTAATGGCAGTAGAAATTATGAACATGCAAAATAAAGTTTCATGCGCATGACATGAACTATGTCACAGTTTATTTGTCTAAATTTTGTTTGAGTTGATGACCCACTGTCAGGAACTACCTCGAAGTTCACATCACTGGCGCGGCGCAGCACCTTATAAGGTCCAAAGTACCGGCTTGGTAACTTTTCCGAGAGGCCACGACGGTGGTCAGGGGTCTACACCCAAACTTGGTCTTTTGGATTGTAGAGCACATCTCGATGGCGGGTATTGTAGCGTCGTGCATGAGCCTGCTGTTGCAGACCGATGTGCAGCCCTGTGAGCTGGCGAGCTTCCTCAGCACATTCGATGATTTCTTCAGCGTCAGCTGTTAACTGGTCAGCATCTTGACAGGGAAGCATTGCGTCCAACATAGCTGGAACTTCGTGATCGCATAGAAGACGACATGGCGTGACTCACGTTGTTTCCTGAACGACGGTGTTGTAAGCAAATGTCACATAAGATAACCCCTGATCCCATGTTTTTTGTTGCACGTCGAAGAACATAAAGATCATATCGGTCACTGTCACATTTAGTCGCTCAGTAAGTTGGTTGCTCTGCGAATAATAAGCAGTCGTCTTCTGATGCCTAGTGTTGCTTAGCTGAAAAACCTTGTCAGTAAGTTGCGCAGTGAACGCTGTCTCTCAGTCCTCGGTCTGTTATTACTGCAGAGGGAATTCCATGATGCAATACGGTGTGGCACATAAAGAACTGCGCTACTTTGGCAGCCGTGGCTCGGGGTATCGCTTTTGTCTCGTTACAGCATGTCAAATATCCAGTTGCGACTATCGCCCATTTTGTTGCCATTGGTAGACCGAGCAAAAGGGCCGAAGAGGTCCATGCCGATTTGTCAAATGGCTTGTAAGTCGGGTCCATTGGTTTAAGTAATCCAGCTGGCTTGCTTCATGATGCCTTGTGAGACTGACATTCATGACAGCCTTTCACATACTGCTTGACGTTTGCCGAAAGACCTGGCCAATAATACGCCTCGGCTACTCTGGCTCGTCATGGCAAGTGAACAGGATCTCATACCGCATGTTCCTCAAAACCACGAGGTGGTAGGTTCGACTGGCAGAACGGGGTTTTTTTTTATACAAGACGTTGTCCTGAAGACAAAAGGATTTCAACACACGGGATAGATGGTGTGGTACGACTGCGATATGACCTTCTAAATAATCGATGACTGGTCGAATCTCGTCGCTGTCTCGCAGCCGTTTGCTCAAGTCCGATGAGCTGTCATCGTCCGAGGAAACCGTCATCGTCTTCTGCTACCCAACTTACAGGAGGAATTGGTGCACGTGACAGTGTGTCCACGGCTTCATGCTTTCGCCAGACTTATAGACGATGGTCACGTTGAATTTCTGTAGGCGCAAGCTCTCCCGGGCCAGTCGTCATGAGGAATCACGTATGTTCATCAACCAACAAAGGGCATGATGGTCCGTCACAACTTTGAATGGACGACCATAGAGGCAAGAGTGAAACTTGGTGATCACCCATATAACAGCAATACACTCTTTTTTTGTGGTCGAGTGATTCGCCTCGACACGGGACAGTGAGCGGCTCGCATAGGTTGTAACTCTCTCTTCTCCGTGTTGATGTTGGACGAGCATTGCGCCGAGGCCGATGTTACTGGAGTAAGTATGCATCTGCTTCAGCATCATCGTGAGAATGTGCAAGAATGGGTGCTGACTGCATGCGCTGTCGTAGCTTGGCAAAAGCAGCCTGTTGCTCATTGTCCCAGACAAATGGCGTGTCGTCTATTGTAAGGTGAGTCATGAGTTCCACTCTTTTCGAGACGCCTTTAAAAAGCGCCTATAAGCGCACAAGCCCAGGAAGC